TCTTAAAGCAGGCATCAGGCAGCCACTAGATTATGGAATCCAGTCGTGTTAATCTAACTTCTATTTGCTTAATTATTTCTGTTATTAGCAGCATTTTTGTTTCAATAGAAAGTAGAGTTATTAGATCACCACTTTGATTCATTTTGGAAAACTATGATGATTTCACAAGGAATTGGTTTGATTCCAGAAGTAGACTACGATGGCAGCTGGATAAATGCTAATAAAACTAGGAGGGTGTTTGTAAAGCAAAATTAAGAATTCTCAAAGGGTTAACTGGTTAGAATGTGTATTCTGTTGAATCTGGCGGGTTTTGAGTGATAAGAAATACTGCTTGTGCATAGTGATTCCTTGATGACAAGAAGGCAAATATGAGAATAAGCATTATCTGAAGGAAAAAATACACTTGAAAACATCTAAAATACAGGGAATGATGAAAGAATGCTATAGCTGCCAAAATGTAATTGTCAAAGGAGTAAACTGCACATTTGCTTTGAAATTGCTTATAAAATGAAAGGAATGTTTTCTATCCACCAAGGCTTCCCAGCTGAGAGTACTTTAATGCTTTTAATACATGTGCGTAAAACCACTTTTCATATGCTTAGGGAAGATTGGAAAACTAAAAGTTGAAATGGATTGAACAAACTTTACAAGGAATTGTAATCTTGAAAACCTTAGTTCATTTGTTTTTTCTACGTTAGAGGATACTGCAACAGTCACACAATGTCTTATTCACCTTTGTCTAAACCTTGAAAAAGTAGAAGTATTTTTCAGCAGCTCAGTGTTCTCTGCAATTCGCAGGTTATACTTAAGTTCTAAAAAAACCTCTAGAATTTTTCAATTAGATCCACAAAAGAATTTATTAAGTTCCTCTGTAGATGTGAGTTTATAATTGTCATTAAAAAAAAAATCCCTTCTCAGTTGCCACCACATTTTGGAAATGCTTGCTTTTCCTTGCACAACAAAAGTCCTAATTAATCAGGGCATATAAAACAGGCAAATAGACCTAGACAAAATGAAAAATATTTCTACGTACATATTAGAATAATTTAAAAACTTCTAAAATGGCTGAAACAGAATGGAGGGTTTCAAGTGACAATAAATTAGGTATCAGTAAATTTCAAAAAGACAAGATCATGAATAGGGTGCTGTAGTTACAAGGTATAAAATACCTATGAATGATAGTCACTCATGATAATGGGGACTGTGACAATAGGTTAAATAAAGCTAGAGGTAAATAAAATGATAGAAAACATATTTTGAGGTAAATGAAAACATACTTATATTAAAGGGAAATTAGGTCACGGGTAAAAGACTTAAGATTGTAATCAAAACTATTTGAAGACACTTAGATCCTCAGAGTACATGCATATCTTAAAAAGAGTCCAGAAGGCCCACCAGAAGTAGTTGAGCCATATTAGCCAGCACATTAAAGGGTGGAAGGGAAAGACAGACTGAAATGTGGAGAACAAAAAGGAACACGACTGTGGAAAGTTAACTTCTGGAAGACACAAAAACAAAACTAAACAACTGACAGACTTTGAGGAACAATTGCCAAAGGTGTGAAAGATCATTAAAAATACCAGAAACAGGAAGCCTGCCAGAAAGATAATTGGACTAATATATTTTCAGGGTGTAAAAAGAGTACTTAATGGAAGTGAGGCAATTGCAGAAAAACTAAGCTAGTCATTTGCAGTGATGTTTACTACAGTGGAAACATCTTTTCTTGAGGAAAAATGGGAGTATTACTCGGAGATTGATAGCTGGAAGCAGTAAGCAACAGTTTTCACAATGAGAAAGGATATCAGCAATGTCCCCAGGGATCTGTGTGGGAACCTATGCTGTTCAAGGTACTCATGTATTACCTGGAAAAAGCTATCAGTAGTCAGGTGATGATATTAACGAATGATACAAACTCATTCAAGATGACTGGATCGAAAGTGAATGGCAATGAACTGTGGAAGACTGTCACGACGTGGACTTGGGAAAACAGTAAATGAAACTCATTGGTAGTAAGTACAAAGTAATGATCGTGTTAACCAGTAGTTTTGTGAGCCCAGGAACTAATGAAGCCTACTCCCATAACCAGCAGTTGAGTGACATTTTAATTGAATTATATTAAGGCTGCAGTGTGACTTCAGTCTTTATTACACATAAAAGAATCCACAGAGAAAAGCCCCAACTAAAGAGCGAATTCTCTGGTATCTAATGAGACATTAAGTCCTGTTGAAACTTTTTTCCTGCAGGTAGGGTATTCGGTCTGCGCTCTCAGGTCTGTAGTGACTAGTTAAGAGTTAGATCTAGAGTGAGCCTTGCCCTCACTGCACACACTCATGGTACCTCCTGTCTGGCTTCCTATTTCTTGAATTCTGGGCTGCCAGCTTTCACAAAATTTATGGAAACTTAAGATAGCAGAACTTGTTTAATACCACTTGTTTAATTTGCTTGAAATTCAAAAGTGAATGTAAAATTTAAAGGTAGTAACAAGGCATTCAAAAAAATATGTTGAGAACAATGATCAATATAATGCCACATAAATCAGCACTGCTGTCAGAGGGAGCAGCCCTGCCTTCTTCTCCCTCTCATCTTCAATTACTCACCCCCTGCATGCTCCACCTTCCCCTGCTTTTTGTCAGTGCTCGCGTACATACAGCCACTCACAGCAAACTGGATCAGCCTAAGAACTACTCCAGGAAAAAAATGGTTAGTTTTTAACTGGACTAGTTTGCCTAGTCCCAGTGCAAGATAGGGGCAGAGGTGGCTCTTCTGGCAGCACTGCAAATCTGTACCAGATTAAGCAGAATATAAAACTGCCTGGATCCTGACAAGTTTAGTGCTAAATTTGGTATTCCTCTCTCTTTCATCTGTGAGGGAATGGTTTCAGGTAGTGAACAACGGATCACACCGTGTACAATATCTAGTAATTTCTGCTTGCTTTCATGACCTGTCCAGAAAAAAAACCCAATTAAGGCTACTGCTGTTGCCTTCTCTTTTATACAAGTAGAATAAGAAAATTTAACTGGGGTGCAGAATCAACATTCAGTCTCCTTCTAGGGCATTTGTCTGAGAAGACCAAGGACTGTAAATGAACAGTCACTGGAAAGGGCTGGATCCCAGGCAAGCACCCCAGCTGCTAGCCTGAAAACTGATGCTCCTGCTTGCACCTTCCCTCTCAATGAGCATAAAGAATTCTGTACTTTGGCAGTCAAACAGCTTTGACAGCAGAGAGTACACACATTAGGAGTAGCCTGTACTATGGTGGTGTTGAAGTAGTCTTCTGAAATGTCTGACATAGGGGCTTGTTTCTCCTCAGGCCCATGTGACTCTCAATATGGGAAAACTTCAGTGTAAAGTAAAATTCAGTGAAAACTGCAGGGGAGATGCAGGAGACGGCCACCATTGCTGTTTTGAAATAAAAATGTATCCTGTGCTTTGTCAAATGTTGGAAGAAAGGACTTGGTGCTTACCTTGATGTATGATCTCAGTGCTGTGAACCCTGAGTGGAAGGAAGCACCCTGGGCCAGCAGAGAGTAGGAAGCCTTAGCTCCAGTGAGGAATGGCATACACAAGACATCTTCATCTTTAGCATTTCCTACTGACCGCTCTAACCAGTTTCTGGTTCTGCCTGGTAGTGACTTTTCACATGTGGGTTTTTTGCTTTGCTTTGTTTGGAGACCTAATTATGTATTTTTGCTTGTTGTGGTCCCCTTTTTAAGGCACCTAAATCTTCCTGTGCATTGTTTAGGGAGTCTGGACATGAGGCTTGGATAATGAAGTGCTTTAGTCCTTCTGTGAATCTGGGTCATGGTGATTTTGTTTTTCCCCACATATGGAAGAGTGAAATCATGTAACTTTTTAGTAGAAATATTACTGTAATTGAAAATTTATTTTAAGTTTCTAATGTCACTGAGTAGGTACAGTTTACGAAAGCCAAGTCCTTTTCTGCTACATTAAAAAGAATAAACAAAACCCCCAACATAGCTCCATTAGAAACACCCTCAGCACTCTCACTAAATTTAAGAGTGCATAAGCAGAGAATACAGAGCAAACACTTGTGTTCTGCATATTCCCCAATAAAGATTTAAAACACCAGTGTCAATAGGCAGGAAGTTTCTTCAAAAGCCAGAGAGCGCCCTACCTTCACCGTAATGCTCTGCAGGCCAATAATGAAAGCCGACACATCATACAGGATTCCATTCATTAACAGTAATTCCTTAAGACTTAAAACTAATGCATTAATCACGTTAATGATAATCCATTAACGTGAAGAACCTGACGATAAAAAGGTAGAATCGGGGATATGCTCTGTAGCAAGTGTTACAGTTTCAGGGTAATACTGAATTACAGAATTGGTCTGTAGACTGACTAGAGGATTAACCATGTCAGCAGAGCACGTGAAGTGAACACCATGGTTTAGGAGAGCAGAAAATGACAGCATAGAATATTAATGTTTCTACACAGGGATTGGTTTGCACTGAGGGTGTAATTTGGAAAGGTGACTCTAGATGGTTGCTTCTTGAAATCAGGCCCAAAGTATTTAAGGACCAAAATCATAAATGTTTTATTTAAAGAGTGATACACTTGTTTACGTTGTGGCAGAATGATCCCTATATACTGATCTTGGTATCTTTACATCAGAGGGCAGTAACGCCACCACTTTGAACACTTCCAGTTAATTATCACCAGAACGTTTTGATAATGACAGTGTATTTTGCAATATGAACAAAATGGGGGGAAAAAATAATAAAAGCGTTTAGAAGAAAAAGGCCAAACAAACCCTGGGAGCACTGACTTTAACAAGTTCAACAAATATTCAAGCTATCAGAGGGCAGTAATGCCACCACTTTGAACACTTCCAGTTAATTATCACCAGAACGTTTTGATAATGACAGTGTATTTTGCAATATGAACAAAATGGGGGGAAAAAATAATAAAAGCGTTTAGAAGAAAAAGGCCAAACAAACCCTGGGAGCACTGACTTTAACAAGTTCAACAAATATTCAAGCCACATTTAATAACTTTATGAAACTAGTATCAAAGTAAAGAATATATAGTCAAAATACAGAAATAAAGTTGAGTGAGAGGAAACAGCCTGATGAGATCAAACAAAAGTTAAACAGAACAGATTAATATAAACAAATTAGCTGAAAGGTCGCTTTGCTTTGTGTAGCAGTATTTCAGCAATTCCTTTCCTCAATAGCCAGCTTAGAAGGAAGAGCTAATCTGAAAAAAAAAAGATATGCTGCTGTATGTGTTATTGTGATTGTTTGTAGAAACAGCATCGCCCCAATTTGCAACCTATGTTAATTTCTTATTTAATAAACATAGTGGATTTTTTTTGTAAGAAAACAAAAGTTCAGAATGAAGCATCTGCATTCAGCTTTCCATTCCACATACATTTATCTTTCTATTGGCTATGAATTCTTTTAAATGTGAACTGCAAATTATTAGAATTTGCTTACACTTCCAAACCTTTTGTTTGTCATAGATACTTCACTTCTAAAAGTGTCTGATGTAGCACTCGCTAATTACAGAAGGTAGAATAAGGCTTCCCCCGCTCAGAAATTTGCATTTTTGGTAAAGGTAACAATATATCGGCTTCACTAACACCCTAATAATAGGCATACATTTAATTTTCTATCACCACCCTTCCAAAGAAAAAAGAAAGACTAAAAGATGTGTGCAACTGGTTTTTGCTTAGTATAAAATTTTCAAATCAGAACTCATTTTGCTACGATAAACACTATGCATTACATATGAACATATGTGGAAAACAATGTGCCAGGCTTTAAAAAAAAAAAGTTTGATTAGCAGATGACGATTCTGTAGTGCTATTGTGCACTATGCTGTAAGCCCAGAGATTAAAAAAAAGCAAAAAAAATTAACCAAACCAGTTTTGATGCAGGTTTGGCATCAAGTGTACGTTATGATCTTAGACTCGGTATGCTCATTCTGTGGTTGAGAAATTTAAAGTACCAGATTTTTCCACATCAGATAGCAGGTAGTTGGTGCATACATTTCAGACAAGAGAACTAGGATTTCTTTAATTTGAGACGGGATCAGTAATCTATTGTTAAAATGTCCAAAGTGTGCAATAATAAGGCAGATTTCTTATTACACCACCTCTTAAGATACTCATTGTTTGATGAAACAAACAAGGTGCTTTAAAACAGCAGAGTAATGGGATACAAACAAGTGCCAGAATGAAGGAAAACTGCTAAAATGGGAACTGCCCTTTCTTTCACAATGAGAAATAAAGAACTTTTGTATCTGGTATTTGAAAGGTTTTTAACAGCTGATATTCAATATCAGCTGATTCCTGAAGTGTTGGCAAGATACCAGGTTTCTGGTACTGGCCATTTCTAATGTTATTTAAATATTCACATCATGCAATAAGCAGTTTCACACACTGCAATGTCATGGAAAATACTTCCTAAACTGAACCAGAACCGAGACCCCAAAGCAGAACCAGTAAATAAATATCTCGCATATATGTCAAACTATATTCTTCAAACAAAACCTTACATCTTATCAAAGAAGTCAGAAAGTACTAACAAAAATTATATGCTTTCTACTATAATACTGTTAAATTTCCATGGCTGAGAATGTCCCATTAATTTTTTCTGCCTTTTTAAATTAGTTGACAAAGTAGAAATTCAAACACAGAAATAAAATGCATATATGAGAGCACTGGCTCAGCGAGATATCAAATATACAGCATTCTAGTGTCAAAAGTACAGGCAGAAATGTCCAAGATTTCTTGGTGAAAAAGGGGCATTTGAGGAGTAAAAATTCTACTTAACAATCACTCACATTTTAACAGTGCATTAATTATAACAAAAGCTGGATGATAAGTGAGCAACAGAGTCATAATGTTCAGTGTTCATAGCAGAATTTTATCCTCTGCTCTTTTAAATGAGGTTGGAAACATATACTCATGTATGTGAAACTTTAAGTAGCTACGTTTTTTCAATTTTTCAGGATTCTTGCAAGAGGCAGAGTTGTGACATTGAATTGAGTTGGATGATAGTACAAGGTGGCGTTGATAGAAGTCTTCCTTTTGATGCTGTGCCTCTGGCTTGTCAAAGGATGATTAGTCCTACAATCTTGTTTGAGCTATTCTTTTGCCTCTAGGAAAAGGGTTTCTTGAGGATACAGTTTTACCTCCAGTAATGATTTATTTGGATCCAGCTGGGTCACCTGAAAGATAAGAACAAGAAGGTATCTGTAAGGAGACTTTTTTGAACTGTATCTTCACAGGGCAGATTTTCACCGGGGAGATTTTTGAGTCCCTCTGTCACTGATAACTGAAGTTGTGAGTATGAATTCCCAGGATGCAGATTAAGAAATACATATTGTATTTTGTGTGTTAATATTACTTTGTAATAACAATAAACAATAATAATAAACAGAATCCACGACATTAATTCCAAGAAGGTCTGGTTTTCTACCATAAACCAATGCGTGAATATATCTGTTTTTGTCAAAGTTAAGATCTTTTGGAAGGATTGCTAGAACACGAGTTAAGATGAAAAATAAAACTGTAGTCCCAGATAAATATCCTAAAATTTCAGTCAAACTGGTGGTGCGAGCAGCATAGCCAATCCAACATGATCTCCCCACTGAAAGGGGAAACTTATGCTGCCTTTATTTTCCTGCTCCTTTTCTTGCTCCAACTCACATGGTGCAGCACCTAACTTTCACTCACTTTGATGCTTATCAGCCACCTCAACGAACCTAGGCTGGGAGAAAACCGTCCACTTTTATTTGTTTGGTTATTTATCGGTCATGCTAGTGAGTTTAACTGGTAAACACACAAGTCCGGTCAACACCAAGTCCCGTGGAAGGTAAGTAACAAAAGCACTAAGCAGTGAGTAGAAGGGAGAAAGCAAGGCCCTCCTCCTTTCATTGGGAGTGAGACTGTAAATCAGCTCACCATATGGTGAAACTGCATCTCAACACAACTACTGAAGTGTATACTTATTATGCATGTGTGTGTGTGTGTATATGCATGCATTATAAGTACTACGTGGCTATATATCTTTTATGTAGACACTTACATGCGTACATTTGTATTATAGGATTGTTCCCTGGAATCCTGACTCCTTGTTGGATTTGCAAAGGTATTTAGGCAATCACTTGTGCAGGTGGGCATACAGGAGAATTTCAGTGAGAGTTAAATGCCATGCAATTTGGAAAATAGGCACTATCTGCACCATTATTGCCAAAATTCTTCAGCATTTGGATCTCGGCACCAAACCCTGCAAGCTGCTCAACATCCTGACTATCCCATTACTGACTTTCACTTAAGGCACATAAGTGATTCTCAGTTTATAGTCAGCAAGAAACTTGTGTTGAGGATTCTATTTAGAAGCTAGGCTGCTGCCTATAGGATAAATCTCTTCTATGAAAATAAAATTTAATTGTAAATATTACATAATTAATTATATAGACAAAATAATGACGACAAGGGTCCTAGTGTCCTTCAGACATTCAGGTTTACATGCCAATGCTGTGACGTCCTTCAGAAGACTACTGCAAAGCTTCATACAGAAAGATGAACATTATGTCTTTTAATCTTGCCATCTTCTGAAATATTTCACTTTCATTTTAAAACTTTTTTCCCCTGGTAATTCTGTTTTAGTTTATTTTGCTGTGTGAGCACACTAGTTACCGGAAGTTTGCTTGTGAATAATAGATTATTAGTCTTATGCTATAGGTATAAATGCAAATGCATACTGATAAACATTTTTTCCAAAGTTAAATTTGTTTTATCTATGATCATATCATGCCACTGCTTTCTAAAATTATTTTTTGAAAACATTAAGTGTCATGCAAACCAAATACTACGAATTAGTAAGAAACACTAAATGTATTTTTTTCTTAAAAGCTTAACTTAATAATCCTGTTACCAATTAACAAAAACAGTATCGCTCCTCTTTCTCTCCCCCCCAACTAAATCAGGCAAACTTAAAATATATTTGTATTTCCATTGTTCTAGTTGATAATTACAGAAAATTCATTATTTAAACAAATATTAAAAGCTTATCACTTCTTAAGTCCATCGGAATCAATGTAATTTCACCTCTCTGACTGCAACAGAATTTAAAAAAAAACCAACAAAAAAACCCAAACAGATGCATTATTTTGATTCCCAATGCAGGAACGTATTTTCTTAAACTTCATGTACCATGGTGAGCTATTGCTAAATGTCTGAAGAGAAAAATAATTTATAAAAACCAGACTCAATTTTAGATTCCTATTATCTGCGGTCCAATTATGCATTCCTGCACAGATGCCGCTTAAATTATTGAAAGGTTATTATCTTAGAAAGCAAACCTGTTATGTAGAATACAGCCAAAGTAGTGCGTTTAAGTTTGTGATTACAGAAGTATGCTAATTAAGTATCTTGTTGCATTTTTTAATGTTTTGGTATTCTGCTACAGTCCATTATTACACATAGGCACAGAAAGCAAGGTAAATAGGGGTCTCTGCAATTCACAGCACATGAGGTATCGTGCACATGAGAAGCAATTTTCCTTCTTTTCAGTTCAAGCCGGTATGTAATTAGACCTCTCTATTTTCAAATCCTGCAACCTTTTTTTCGCAAGAAAAGCTAGGAAAGACAGAACAAGTCTCTTCTACATTTGGGGAAAAAAAAAAATCTGAAAAGCAAGCCTAGGCAATGAACACAATCTTCCAGACTGTAACCATATGGAAACCTCTTATTCACTTGAGTGTAATTCAAGATACATATCCTAGTCTAAACTGTAAGGTTTGCAAACTTCAAGTACCTTAAATAATAACAACACATGATGTCCCTTCCTCAATGTCTTCATACTTAGAAGGTTAGCTAAAAGCATTGTGGAGTACCTGCAGCAAAAGGACGGCTTTTCACCGTAATTTCAGTGTGCTGCTTAATTCACTGAGGGACAGCAGAGTTTGCAAATGTTTACACCATTACCCAATTAACTAACAATATGGCTCCTACATCTGTCAACAAACAAAGCTGTTGTTGCTTTGTTTTAGCTCCTTGGCATTTTCTGTTCATATGGGTCGCCATTGTACTTAATTATCACACCATAACCCTTCTGCAGCTTCTACTTTGTTATTTGTGGCTTGTAAATACGTTGTTTACTATGAAGAATAGAAGCCTTATTAGTGAACACACCTCCTACCAAAAGAAATGGTTTCTCTTGTAAATATATGAAATATAAGACCTAAGATGCTTTGTAACTTACAGTATTTTAAAACAGAATTAGAAACCAAAGAACGATATATAATAGAGATCAAAGGAACCTGGAAGAGCTGTAGCCCGCAAAGGTGTGTCCAATGTAGTGTTTTAATGAATTTTATTCACTGAAATAAATTTACATGTATTATTTCCTAGTGTAAAGTATTAAAATACCTTCATATTTAATTCTGTGTACCTTGTTTCATGACCATTAGGATAAATTCTGGAGTCCACTTCAGTGCTGACAATCCTTTGCTCTGATGTCATTGCATGGCGCAGCGCTTTTGAAACAGCCCTGCACATTATGTAAGTTACATTGTCCAAAACCCGTACACCTTTCTTATTTAAAGATTTTTTTTTTATGTTGTTGGCAATTACACAGGAAATCATTTAAGCATGTGTTTATATACTGAATCTGATTTGATCCTGTTGAACTCAATGAGATTACATAGGTACCAATCTGGTGAAATCAATGCTTTCCTGATCAAGGTTGCAAAATTCACCAAATTAAGCATTCAGCATTTGTTAAAGGCCTAAACAAATGCTAAAAGCATAGTGTTTCTCTATATTTTCAAGACCTACAATATCTGACTTTCTACCAGTCACGTGCATGCATTCTAAGAGTCCACTCACGTCACGTGGTGATACCAGCTGATGAGGTGAATGTATTTTTAAAATATATTTTGTGGTTTTGCTAAGGTAAGTACTTTATAATGAAACGTAAACTAAAACCCCTTAAAAAGAGGCTCTAAGCCATTCCAAATTTACATAGTGAGGAGGGTGGCAGAGGAAGGACACAATGTTCAGATGCTAAGAGAGTATAACTCAAGTGACAGCAAAATTACTAATATTCAAGCTCACAGAACTCTGTAGAATAACATGCATGCGCATTCAGGGCTGTCCCAAAGCCAAAGCAGATAGTGCCCTGGGAGTTTTCATCTTCAGGCAAATGACTTTCTATGCAAACTCGAACACTGCCCTCTCTTCAGGGAAGACTTTCTAGCAACATGAGCGGAGAGTGGTAACAGGACCTTATTTCTACCAGCGTGAGATCTTGCCATTGAGCTATGAAATGTTTCACTTTCACTGAAATAGGTTTAAGTTGGTAAAACAGTACTTTTCTTCCAACTATGGATACGCTTTTACAGGACCTTACACTTTGGTGCACTGGAGCCAAGACTTCATCTTTTAACGTAAAGAGCTTTGTTATGTAACTGATGATGGTTTGGTGCACAGGAGATTTATTATTTTAACAGGTATTTGTTTAAATGAATTCTGTGGTAATTATTTCAACTAAGCGCTAGCTAGTTGGTTTGAAGTACTTCTGCAGCACTTTGAAGTGTGAATGATTTAAGATGCGCAAAACCAAAAGATAGCAATGTTAACTTTTGTAATTCTCCTGGAAGAATGTAGTAGCTACTTAACACTTTATTCTGAATAAATTCCTTGGGTTTTTTAACGACCCAGTAATGAAAATTAATACTAGTTTAAACAACATTTTAATACATTTTTGTAGCAAAGGCTTTTTCCTTCTAGAACAATTTTTGTATTATTTCTATCTTCACCTTTGCTGACCTATCTGTTCTATTACACAGTCACATCCTGAACAGCTGTACTTTTACCATTTCAAAGGTGTGGTTCCTTACCCTCCCTAAATCTGCAGGGAAAAGATAAATACAAAAAAATGGCTTAATGCCCAGGAAGGTCATTTAAAAGTAAAGAATCGAATACACAATTATTATGACACTTACACAAGCAGTAAATATCACACCCTTCACCTTTCTCTACACCCTAGGACAAGGATCTGATTCCTGAGTAGCACAGCCTCTATACCACTTACACACGCATGAATACGTTTAATGAATCTAACGGACAAAGGGTTCTTTTACTCTCTTTCCTAATCCTCCTAAAGTATAAATGCGATAGAAATTACTTAAAGGCACACCTGGTAAAGTACCAGATCTGT